ATAAATCTTAGATTAAAGTTAGATGGGTTATTTATAAATAAATATGTATGGTTAAATGTGCCAACCTTTTATAGAGTAACAACCAGTCAATCGGTAAGTATGTATATATATATTTCATATTAAAAAACAAAAATAATAGTACATGAAATTCTCGACACTAATAATTTATAAAAGAATAAGAAAAAACGTGGTTACAAGTATTTGTGATTTCGTTTTCATCATCATGTGTAATTTTTAATCAAAGCTTAATTTTTAATTATAATTTCGATAAGTAGAGAAATAATGTTTAGTTGATTAATCAAACATTTTTATTCATCATTAAAGATATGCACCATAAATTAACTATGCAAGTCTACTATGGAGAAAAAGATAAAGATTATGAAACTTATTCGGTGGAATTGTTATCCATCATGTGCATAGTCGATCATTCCGATGGTCCAAAGTCGGAGAATTGTAGTGGTATAAAAGCAGTAGTCAAAGAACAAGATTTAATAGAGCTTCAATGTAGCTTAATTTGATTGTAAATTAAAATTTCACTAAAAATTGAGTCAAGTTTTGATCAAAAATAAAATTTAATAATCATTTATTAATCACACACAAAGTTGTAATCGAAAATTCAAGTTGTATTATTATTCATTCGATAAGGAATTAAAATTCATTGGTTACGACTAAGGTAACACTTCAACAGGAATCACATTTTAGTTCCATAAATTTAAACAAAATAATGCCACCGATGGTAAAAAAAAAATCGTATTTCAGGTACCACAATGCCTGTCAACAACATCCCCGAAGATTGGAGAAAAATGAACGATCCTTGCGTCGCAATACTCAAAAAACAGGTGAAAAGTGAGCTCACCGTTGCTATGTCGTATCTGGCAATGGTAAGTGAAAAAATTTAATGTACCGGTGTACCTGTAATGGGCGGAAAAAATGATCGGTTTGCTTTGAGGGTGCCTATTTCTCCCGCGACACAGTAAACCGGCCAGGATTCAGCGAGTTCTTCCTGAAAAGTGCGAGCGAGGAGCGTGAGCATGGCATCAAAATAATGGAGTACCTCCTGATGCGTGGTCAGCTCACTAGCGACGTAACGGAGCTGCTGACCAGAGTGCCCCGAGTGGAACGTCATACCTGGCATACTGGAGTCGAGGCCCTCACCGAAGCCCTGAAACTCGAGCAGGAAGTCACCGCGAGGATTCGGCGAATCATCGAGACCTGCGAATCGAAAGACTTCAACGATTATCACGTGAGTGGTTTACACATTTTTTTTTCGCTCCGATCGAGATTTGGGTCTCGCAATCAGGAGAGATACCTCACAGGGCAGATAAGCCGCGCTTTTGTCATTTCTTGGCCCAATGGTATCACTTTTGGGAAAAACTTTTGTAGTTGCAACTGTACGCTTTATCTTTACAAGGGAAAAATACTTTCAACAAGACTCGAATGTTCCATAGTCTCATTGAAAATTTAGCGTTACTTAAAAATGCAATTACAGAAACGTGTGTGATTATTCGGATATTTTTCATTTTACAGTTGGTGGACTATCTGACAGCGGAGTTCCTGACCGAGCAGTACAAAGGCCAACGAGACCTTGCGGGAAAGATTTCAACTCTTGGAAAAATGACTGCATCCCAAAAAGCGCTCGGAGAATTTTTGTTTGATAAGAAACTTCTCAACAATCAGCTTTAAAATTGCCTCGTTGCAATCAGTATCGATAATTTTTTTGGCCAATTATTTTCCAATTGTTGATTATTCTAGCTACTTGAAAAAAAAAAAAATTTTACAAATAGAAAGCGTAGTAAAGATTTAAATAATTATTATTGCTGCCCCTGTAATATACATTTTACATGTACACGTCAATTATATAAATTCTGTCATTAATCAAATTTTGGCACGGACGAAGCCATCTCGGTCAAATAATACCAATAATACTATCAAGACGATACTATTGTCCCTTTATTCATTTATTAAAATAGAAAAACATTATACACACAATTGAACCGAACTTATTTATTACATGATACATTTTTTCTATTAATTACAACCCTTACTACAAATAAAATTATTGGGACTCACTTGTACAGCATCGTTTTGATTACGCAAAATACTTTTATTGCCTATTAACAAAGAGATGGAAAACAAAAAGCTTTGCCAAAATGAAACTCTACCTCCAATACTCATTTTCCAGTTCACAAAGGGCGTAAAAAATAAACCCAAGAGTCCAGACCAGGTATACACAAGTGAAAGTCGTGCCAAAGGGAGGAAAAGTTACACGTCCAGCAGCAGTGGCGGCGTAAAAAAAAAAAGACGATGAAAAGAGAAAAAAAGAACCACATAGACACAGAAAAATACATATATATGCAAGGGACACGATTCTTCTCCGTATACCGTGTATTGTATGTACATATAGAGAAAATGCGTGCTGAGCCAACGAGAAAGAGGAGAGAAGAGAGCTGGTTCGTTCCGTTTGAGTCAGAGTATCGAGGTGTCAATAGCAGCTGCTATACGTTAGTTCTCGCTCCACTCGCCTACGTATACATACATACATATATATATGTGTGTGCGTATGCGCGACATACACGCAGTAGGAAAAGAGAGACTATAGACCCTACAGTACCATTGGGGGGTACGTAAAGCGCTTTGGTTCTTCCCTTCCACCCCTTATCTCTGCGCTTGGCTAACGCTTACAAATGCACGGGGCATGAAGAGCCTACACCGTACGGATTCGTGCCTAAACGTTAAATCCCTTTTTTTTTTTTTTTTTTTTTTTTTTNAAGAATAAGAAAAAACGTGGTTACAAGTATTTGTGATTTCGTTTTCATCATCATGTGTAATTTTTAATCAAAGCTTAATTTTTAATTATAATTTCGATAAGTAGAGAAATAATGTTTAGTTGATTAATCAAACATTTTTATTCATCATTAAAGATATGCACCATAAATTAACCATGCAAGTCTACTGTGGAGAAAAAGATAAAGATTATGAAACTTATTCGGTGGAATTGTTATCCATCATGTGCATAGTCGATCATTCCGATGGTCCAAAGTCGGAGAATTGTAGTGGTATAAAAGCAGTAGTCAAAGAACAAGATTTAATAGAGCTTCAATGTAGCTTAATTTGATTGTAAATTAAAATTTCACTAAAAATTGAGTCAAGTTTTGATCAAAAATAAAATTTAATAATCATTTATTAATCACACACAAAGTTGTAATCGAAAATTCAAGTTGTATTATTATTCATTCGATAAGGAATTAAAATTCATTGGTTACGACTAAGGTAACACTTCAACAGGAATCACATTTTAGTTCCCAATTAAATGAGGGCAAAAATTTTTTTTCAAAACACAAAACATCCCCCCTTTGGCTAAATAATTTTCAACCCTACATTTAATAATGTACAAGAGGAAAAAAAAAAAAAAAAACAGTTGAGGCCACCAATCGCGAAAAGCATCGAACCCTTCGAGCCGCGTGCACAATATTCCGGCCATCTCCCTCATTTCAACCCCGAGCGAGAGAAAAAAGTCGGACACGGACTTGTACGAGGTACAATATAAAACTCGTTACATCCAGAAGCCGAGCTTTACGTGCAGTAGGTGCACACGCGAAACTATTAACTTCCACTTTCTTTTTTTTTTTTTTTTTTTTTTTTACGCTGCTGCAGATTCCATTTGTACTCTTCGCGAACAAACGCATGTTAGTACACAAAAGAGCGCCACACAGTATAGGAAAAGAGTATCGCGCTCCAAATAAGATCGGCTCGCTCGTACCGTACCTACGTACACGCGGTCCATACAAATGTCGCGGAACAGTACATATGTATTATATTTATATATATACACACACACACACACGCAGTCGACACATAAGGGCCTCGGAGGCTGCAAAGAGTGTATGTATGTACGAGCACACGTATATCGGGGCGCTCTTTCATCTTATCGCGATATCAACGTCAAATGCACCCGCCGCCTTTCTACCCCCTCCTTCTCGTAATCGCTACGCTATACACGTACAATCCGTACCGATCCCTTTTCCTTTCCTATCCTCGTGCTTATATATATATATATATATACATGTACCGGCGTAACATAACGTCGTCGTGTCTCATATATGTACAAGTATGTGCATCGCATACCTATATATGTGTGAACTCTTTTGATGTTTCGGGCCGCGATCTCTTCGTTTGTATACTCAACTGAAACGTACTCAAGTTTTTTCACAAATTTCGTTTGGTGGGTGTATCGATGCGTCGTGGGACAATTTTTTTTTTTTTTTTTTACTTTCGAAATCCAAAAAAAAAGCACTTTGATTCGTTGTTTACAGCTTACACGCGAGGCGTTTTAGATTTATATCACTGTATAGTCGCGAATCGTCGACTTTTCATTTCATCCGTCGTACACTCTTCTAGCGAGAGTTACACTCGTCCCAGTAAAAAATGGCAGATCGGCACAAAGTGTAAAAATGTCCCACGTGCAGGTATTTCCATCCAAGTTTATAGTTTATATCCTACCTTATAAAAGAAAAAAAAAAAAAGAAAAAAAAAGAAAAGAAAAAAAGAAAGAATGAAAGAACCCCCCCGTCCATCAGTTACCATCACTAACAGAGAGAGAAAGAGAGGCGCGGGTGGCCCGAAATCGAAATAAATTTAATCGTCACTTGTTCGTAATGCAGCTTATACCGCATCAATGCGCCCCGATATCCCGTGCCCCCTTTATTAAAGCGCAACGACCAAATTTGCGTATAATAGATATCACAAGAAGCAAGGGGGGGGGGGAAGGGGCTACCCCCGAGAGATGCTCCCTCATGAGTGTACAAGAACGGGACTCGAAACACCGCAGGGGGTTGGTGGGTTTGAAGACACGCTTAGGCAATAGCAGCAGCATAAACAACAACAGCATAGTCCGGTTTTTAATTTGTTTGGCCACGGGCTCTCCTCCGCTTCGACAGCTCGCTAATCTCTCCTACGCGTGTCGCTCTCCATTATATCCCCGTCCCTGTATATTTTATACACGTATGGATGCTCCCCTTTTGGTCTCTCTGATGCCCTCCGCGTGTTTCTGAGAGCCTCTGTTTCTGAAGCGGGGCCCTTTTTCTACACCACCACGCGCTTTCGGGCCACCTCGAACGGGGTAATACAGATCGAGGTTTCGAGTCCATATATGCATATCGCGCGCGCGTGCGAATCCCATGCACGCACGTGGACACACGATCGGCCGTGTAATGCCGATTTTTTTTCGGGGACGCGCGTGCGATTGAAGTGGCGGTGATGCGGTGAACACGCGACGATTTATTCGGCTCGTTTCTTTTCTTTTCTTTTTCTTTTCACAAGGGTCGCTCGTTTTATCATTATTTTTTATTATTATTACCGTTACTAGTGTCCAGAAGCTTTTCAGCTCATGAAATCATTTGGATCCTTCATGACGTGATCGACTGTGATCATTAAAATAATATAAATGTGTACAAGCAACGATTCTTAAAATACATTGGAAATCTCATGAAATTAATGGAATTGTGGGATCACGTTTGAATTCAAAATTGAGTACCCCATAAGCGAATAAACGTTTTACGAGGATCCATTGGGACTTTGAGGTGCGAGGTCTAAATTATTTCAGATTGGTAACGTTTTTCTAAATGATTTCAGATTGATTGCATAAAAGAATGCTCGAATGATTTCAACAACAAAATGGTCCCTTGATGTTTTCAACTTGATAAGTAAAAAAGGAAAGTAAATTTTGTGAAATTCTAAAATATATGTGGAAATCGAAATGGCAAATTCAAACATTGATTATCAAGGATTACCGTATTTTGTATTATTATAGCCAACAAACACCAACATGCAATTTAATGTTATCTGCCTTCCACACAAATGTGCATCAAGCAAACTGAATAAGTAAAAAACAAATATTGAAATCGTCATGAAACAATCGTAAAAGTACATCTTGAAATCTTCATCTCACGCACGAGTGAAAAGCCCCCCGACGAATGCAATATTTCTTAATTGGAAAAAACACCACAACAGCACTGTACAACAATTAAAAAAAAAAGTATCGCGAGCCATGGACGACGATTTTCAGAGACTGTTGACGCGAAAAAATGTTTCCCCCCCCCTGAGACTAGAGATCGGCGCCTCTGTCAAACGCACATCGCGCACGTATACCCGTCGAGTCAGCCGGCACTCGAGCATGTGTACACGGAAAAAACGCGAGCACGCGATGTCTCGACACACAAAATGCGTGTCGATCGCAAAAATTTCGTTTATACAACTGCACCGCCCACGATACCGATACGTGTCTCGGTTATTGGTTTTCATGGCACTCGCGTTGGATGGGAAAATGGTTTTATGCTTTTTCGGAGGGGCGGCGGGGAAAGCGGCCGAGAAGCGGAAATTCGTCCACGAGAAGGTGGAGCAAGGAAATTCACGTAGTCGAGGCACATCTCCAGGATATCGGCTGAAATGCGAGACCCTCGAGAGAAAACGGTATAATTTCTACTTGCGCAGGACTTTGTGTCCACAGTTTGGTTTTGACGTAAAAGTACATTTTGGTCCGATGCTCTGATGGCAAAAAATACGGGCATTTTACCTCAAATATGCATGGATTATATAATGTAGTCGTTAATGTTACTAAGGAAGATTTAGTTAATTTATTGAGAGATGATTTTTCGATTTTGCACAGATGAAAGCCGTGATTGAAAAAATTATTTAACCATAAAACTTCGATACGCAGTTATATGAGAAAATCCACAATGAATATCCCGTTTTAGTCCTTCATTTTGATAAGAAT